TGCTCAGTATTTAGTAGAAGCACCCTTTTGAGCTAATACAGCCATGAGTCTTTTTTGGGAATGATGCAACAAGTTTTTCACAGCTGCATTTGGGGATCCTCTGCCATTCGTCCTTGCAGATCCTCTCCAGTTCTGTCAGGTTGGCTGGTAAGCGTTGGTGGACAGCCATTTTCAGGTCTCTCCAGAGATGCTCAATTGGGTTTAAGTCAGGGCTCTGGCTGGGCCATTCAAGAACAGTCACGGAGTTGTTGTGAAGCCACTCCTTCGTTATTTTAGCTGTGTGCTTAGGGTCATTGTCTTGTTGGAAGGTGAACCTTCGGCCCAGTCTGAGGTCCTGAGCACTCTGGAGAAGGTTTTCGTCCAGGATATCCCTGTACTTGGCCGCATTCATCCTTCCCTCGATTGCAACCAGTTGTCCTGTCCCTGCAGCTGAAAAACACCCCCATAGCATGATGCTGAGGAGAGGCTTCCACTCTGCCCTAAAGCCCCGACTGGTGGAGGGCTGCAGTGATGGTTGACTTTTTACAACTTTCTCCCATCTCCCGACTGCATCTCTGGAGCTCAGCCACAGTCATCTTTGGGTTCTTCTGTACCTCTCTCACCAAGGCTCTTCTCCCCTGATAGCTCAGTTTGGCCGGACGGCCAGCTCTAGGAAGGGTTCTGGTCGTCCCAAACGTCTTCCATTTATGGATTATGGAGGCCACTGTGCTCTTAGGCACCTTAAGTGCAGCAGAAATTTTTTTTTGTAACCTTGGCCAGATCTGTGCCTTGCCACAATTCTGTCTCTGAGCTCTTCAGGCAGTTCCTTTGACCTCATGATTCTCATTTGCTCTGACATGCACTGTGAGCTGTAGGGTCTTATATAGACAGGTGTGTGGCTTTCCTAATCACGTCCAATCAGTGAAGGTCTCCTCACACCAGGCAGGCGGCAGGTTGTGGACATTCTTGCTGGTACCAGAGCGCATGAAGCATATAATTTCCAGGGTAAATGTCTACCAAGGGAGGAATGTCTTTTGTTTACTGATGAATACAGCAAAGAGAGAGATTTGTTGAGTGGTTGGAGAAAAAGCCTTATCATGCAATTGCAATATGCACTGTAATCCTGTAGAATCTGCTAATTAATTAAATTGGAGAGGAGCGGTTCCTAATTGAGGTCTAGCAGTAGGACACACGACACAATTACTAACATTACTTTGTTGTGCAGTAAATGTCATCCACTCAAACCATTCATTTTTATCAGCATATCCTGTTTCTAAGGCCAATACATCCTTTCAGCTATTTTACTCCCTCATCCACTAGAGGTGCATTAGTACTGTGAAAACTACCTAAGGGAGGAGATTTTGTATCTGCGTCAGTAATTTTTATGTGGAAGGCCCCTATTGGGTCGTTTCATCTCAGATATACGCCTAGGGGATATATGCCACTATCAGATGGTCTGGCATCTTTTAGAGTTATGAGAAGGGGGTTACTGTGTATACTGCAAAAAAACTTAAAGTAAAATGGCACGGCATCTGAAGCAGAAACACAGCAGTGAAACAGAAGTGGCCCTAGCAATGTGTCTTCCATCAACATCAAAGAAGTGTCGCCAAACATTTGAGCAACTTCATAGGAAGGGAAATTGTTATCCTAACATTGAGGTTTCGCAGAGAGGGCGAGATAGTAACCTATAGACAGCCATCAAAACATACAAATGCAGAAGATTATTTGCCATGCAACATTTGCTAATGGCTCTTCATAAAAGATGAACTATGGAAACATGAGAAACGGTGTCGCAGAACAATGTTCGAGTCAGAAGTTAAATCCCAGAAAAAAAAGAAGAGTTCAAGCTGCTGCCTCAGCTCTCCTTCCATATAAAGGACAGCCATCAGAAAGATGCTCAAACATTGTTAAGAGAATGGTAATTGACAAGGTGTCCCTTGAATTAAGACATAACCCTCTCATACGTGTATTTGGGGAAAGACTGCTGGAGAAACACGAGAGTGATCGATCAAAAGATGGTCATGTCAGTCAAAAGATGAGAGTTGGGTAGATTTTTACTTGCTGCCAAGTCCCTTGACCGCGAAGTTGAGACGCTGCAAGATGTTTTGGTGCCGCCTAAATTTTCTTTAGCTGTGCAAGCAGCAAAACAAGCCTCTGGGTTCACCAGCTCCAAGTACAGGTATAACACACCATCTCTTGCTTTGAAGTTAGGACACTTGCTGAAGGCAGTATGTGACATTGTGATTGGGGATCATATAAAGG